TTTTATATAAGACAGAGGGGATTCAGTGACTTTAAGCTTACAGCCTATGGCTTCCTTCTCGAAATCAAGCAAAACAACAGACATTTTTAGCGGTATTCAATTTTTTTACTTCAACTGCACTGACAAATCGAGCATGTTTGTCATTCGTAATTGGCGCGATTTTTCGCATTTATGAGTCTGTAGATATTTGAAACAGCGGGAGAAATCGTAAAAACGCTAGGCTGCTAAGCTGACATAAATATGGCAGCCTTTTTGTGCGAAGAAAGCTATAGAAAGCGGTTGTTCTTCGCGTTTTTTCATATTCTGCAGGACATTCTTGCGCCCAGATGAAGGCTACATCCATTCGTGAAAAAGCCTCCTTTTCGGTGCCGATGGGCGGCATTCTGTTTTATCGTGGAAGGTTTTATTTAACGTATTTAAAAAGATCGTAATTTGAAGGAAAGTTTAAGGGGTCGGGACCGATGGAAGCATGAAAGACACGCACAGCTCAAAGCTTGGAAGTCAAAGTAAGTAAAGGTATTTTGATCAAATTACAAAGCAAGTACCAGCGTAAATCCTTGTTATTATAGTGCTATTTGGCGGCTCGAAGAATGAACGAAATGGTAAAATATCTTCGCTTCGTAGTGCAATTGCATATTATTTATCAGCGAAAGGTCGGCACATAAAATTTAATTTATTTGAACCGCCAAAAATTGTGAGATTTTATTTTAGATCCCATACATTTCTTTGCAACATCGGGAAGCCATTTTTGCTGTTCCATTTGATTGACATGCGGTATTCGTGACGCAATAGCGACCTTAAGCACCAGGACGGGAGCCACGCCGACGGTATACCGGAAGTTTATTTTGTCCCAGTCATGCGCAGAACCTGAAAAGCTGATTGCATTCTGCCGTCGTCCTGACGTTGGCGACGCCACATTCACGGTTTTGACGTAGTCCTTTTCTTTGATTTACCCGTATTTTTTCTTACGACACATAAAGAAGTACCTTTCTGCTGTTTACTGTGTTATTTTGAGGAGAAATTCTACGATGAACATCCCTGAAGCAGAAACATGCGCTAGCGCAAGCCGCCAGTCGGAAAATAACAGAATAACACAAGCTCGAAGAAATCCATTCGGTAAAATCTATTGCATTTATATCTTCAGTGCTCTAGTTATCACTGATCCAATTTGATATGCTGATCCATTTGTTTATGCTGATATCTCTCTCTCTCTCTATTATTATTATTATTATTATATATATTTACATTTCTATTTCTAAATTGATGGGAAGGTAAAATGATCTTTGTGTAAAATAATTTTCAGTGTCGCTATAGACAGTATAAACAGCAAAACTGGGACAACTTACCTTTTACTCCAAGGCAAAATAAATGCACCTTACTGTTTACATTTAACGTCGTTTAAATTTTTTTAGCCACCAGAAATCGTTTCTAAAACTGAAACTAAAAAATTCCCACCAAAACTTTCAGTTCTCTTCATCCCCTCTTGATTAAAATGCTTTGAACGAGAAAGTTAAGACAAACAGCTTGAAATATTCGTTTTATTGTGATAATTCAACAGCTCTGCAATGTACTGGACCGAAGAGGATGACAAATTGATGTGCCGTGAGATTCTTGCTGCAGATTCATTTTAAGTTGCCGTCGCAGTGTTGCTTAACATGC